AATTTACTTACCTGATAGTGGTTGTATATGGGTTTCTGTCGGTTCTGATATATCTGCGGGCTCTCAGGCGGGGACAGGACCGACGTGACGATTGTGTATGTTATTATATTGTCCTTTACTTACCTGATAGTGGTTGTATATGGGTTTCTGTCGGTTCTGATATATCTGCGGGCTCTCTGGCGGCGAAAGCACCGACGTGACGATTGTGTAAGGCACGTGCGCGGTTTGTCCGCGGCGGTTGCGTGCTTTCCACCACTTGCGCGAGTCGTCTAGCACCTGTCGAGTTGTTTAAAAGTATTATAGTAGAATAAGCTCAATAACTGAAATGGCACTGTCACATTTTCTCTTCTATTTAGCCACCAACGTTCCACCTTTTCAATTATGAAGAAAACTCAATGCTTTTTGAAGAATTTCCAAGCGCCAATGAGAAGTCACAACTTTGATAATTTTTGACACATTCTCGACCAATCACAGGAAAGCGGCACTTAGGCATTGATAAATTTTGACACATACTGGACAAATTACAGTAAAGGGGCATTTTAGCATTTATAAATTTTGGCACATTCACGACCAATCACAGGAAAGCGGTACTCTGGCATTCATAAATTTTGACACATTCTCGACCAATCACAGGGAAGCGGTAAGTATTTAGGCATTGATAAATTTTGACACATACTCGACCAATCACAGGAGACCGGCACTTAGACATTGATTTTTGACACATACTCGACCAATCACAGGAAAGTTGAGGATGACGCCATTTAGATAGTTCCCAGTATCTCTTTATTGCTTTCCCACGTCAAGTGCTTAATATGCAACACTGACTGCCGATGTGGCGTAGTGGTTAGTACGACGCAGAAGTTCCCGGGTTCTATCCCCGGTGGGATCACTCACAAAGTTGATATTTATCACTTTGTGAATTTGTTCCCAGTCTGGTTAGGACATTGCACGTTGAACCACCTGATTGTCCCTGTGCTTCGGATGGGCACGTTAAGCCCCGTTAGGTCTCGGTTGCAGTCTATGGTCATTTAGACGGTGGTCGTTACACAAATATGTCATAGCATAGGCCTGCTACTTGCAGTAGGCGGTTGTAAAACTCTGATACCAGGGTTCATCGGGTCGTTGGATGACTTGGTGTCCCACTCGGAGAAAATAAACTGACTAACCTCCAAGTACTCGCCACGTACTACATTCAGCTCCTTCTCGTTGTTGGCAGTACGAGGGTACATTGTTTGGCACTGATAAATTTTGACACATTCTCGACCAATCACAGGAAAGTGGCAGAATTGAGAATGACATTTAGATAGTTCCCAGTATATCTGGTGCAGATAAAGAACATATCCCGAATTGGCAACATTATTGTTGACATCCTGCTTAAACAATAATGTTATCTGCGCCAGTTATATCTCTTCATTGCTTTCCTACGTCAATTCCCTATGCAACACTGACTGATCCACTGACCTCCAAGTACTCGCCGCGTACGACGGTCAGCTCCTTCTCGTTGTTCGCGGTACGAGGGTACATCACTCGCACCACCTTACCGCCGCGTGACGCCACTCCGCGCGCCCACGACTCGCCCAGGTCTTCTGCGAATCAAGTTATAGCTTTAAGAGGGCATTTCTTTGATAGCTATTTGAAACACCTAGCACACCTAGTAAGTACTTAGTAGTTAGTAAAATTATCGGTAGATAGCACTAGCAATAGATGCACGCAAATGCTCCTCTGTTACAAAACTAGCGTTCTAGTAATGGTGTTGTCTATGACTTTTTTAAATGCATTTCCTAACTACCAAAACTTTTTCCTTGCTCGTAAAACTCACTGATTTGATTGTCATGCATTCACTAAATAATTGTTGTCAATAAAGACCAGTGAAAGTCATTCAGCACCATCTATCGATGATTTTACTAAGTACTAATACATTTTTACTTTTTAATAGCTGTCACAAAATGCCTCATTGCCTTCGACCAATGTTCTATGGAGAAAGTTGTTCAGTTTCATGAGTTTTACCTCCTTTCGGCTTTTTATTATATACCGTTTTTGTTACTCTCGGTATAGTCAAAAAGATAAAAAGAAATACATAGGTAAATAAAATGAATGATACCATCGTCTCGTTCAGGGCGATACGGTGGGTCACGGTCTGGAGACGAGGCCACGGAGCCATCTCGGGCCAGTGCGCGGGTGCTCCTGGAAAACGTCGAATTATTTAACAAGGAACAAGCAGTCAAGCAGATATAAAAAACAAAAACCAATCTGCAGTAATTTTAAAATTGTATATTGCGTTAGAAATCCGCCATCTTGAATTTATAAATTTTTAATATAGCCAGTGTCACACGCGCTGCTAAGACTAATGTAACGACACTTCACTTGTCAAGATCCGCCCAGTTTTTTGGGCTGTAGACCGTGAAAACTTATTTCCGGATACATACATAGGAATCTACATAAATACCTATTTACTCTCAAAAATCATAACCCTCCTGAAGCAGTCACAAATTAGGCTTTTTATTGTAAGATATTTTGAAAATACGATGATGGGTGTCTGCCATACATACCTACTCATCCATCAGCACAATCATCGCCTTTACGGAGGTTGGCGATCCGTTGGGTTCGATCAGACAAATCAGATCAGATCATCTAGTACCATCTAGTATCGAGTAGCAGAACTAACTTCCATTAATTTTATTGAAATGGAAACGGGGTTGCCTTTTCTCTAGATTCTAAACGTTCACGTCTAGCTATTTATTATTTACGATTACGACACCCGTGATGTTATTCTTACACAGCATTATGGTGCTATTTATTTTTTATCAAGATAATTTAGTGAATAAATAATAATAAATAGTGTCTAAAGAAATGACACATGCACGGAATAATTTATTAAGATTTAACATTAGAAATAAACCTGAGAAGAGGCTGGTCGTCGACCGGATAGTCCGGGATCCATCCGTCCATAAACACGGGCTGGTATGGAGGGACCGGGGTTTTCCAGTGTTCCCTGCAAGAGAAATATTTAACGGTTTATAACGATCCACAGGCGAATATAGGTTTGCCAGGCGTCCGGATAAAGCCGGACACAGTAAGGCTAGTAAGTAATGGGCGTTTTTTGGAGAAAATAATCCGTGAAATGGCGTTGTATGCCTCCATAGACTTAAAGGGATTAGCTGTCAATTTTTGACACTTATTCCATTTTAGTCTATGGCAGCGCACACCGCTGTCCTGCGGCTTTGTTTCTCCACAAAACGCCCATTGATTGCCTGTCCGGCTAAAAATGCAAGATGTCCTCTAAGATGTCCGACATTTTAATCCAAATTTTAAGCCGAAAAAGCTTGGCTTTTTAGCCACTGTCCACTAGAGGACATTCCGTGTTACCTGGGTACGAGCCAGGCGTCTCCAAGTGAGTGCCACAGCTCAGTTTCTCTGCTGGTAACACAATTGGCTAGCATGTCCACAGGTGGACAGCCGCCGCTACACATGACTAATAATGAATTAAGATGTAATCTGTTACCTGACATCTATAAGCAATCGCCTTGCTAGGTACCTTCAAGCAGCTAGCTTGCTTATGTATGGTGTACTGGGAACAAACAAGGTGTGCCCTATGATCACACAGTTCTTCTATTACCTGGGTACGAGCCAGGCGTCTCCTAGTGAGTGCCACAACTCAGTCTCTCTGCTGGTAACACAGTTGGCCAACATGTCCAGGGCTTCTCTGGTCAGCAGTGGCTGAACGACCCTTGTGGGAAGTCTGCCGTCGCCTATTTCCGCTGAAACATGCGTTAAACATTGTATCATTATTTGTCTACATCGGTTCAAGAATAGAATTATTGTATTGGAATTTTTAATGCACTCACAGCCAGGCGCGGTCACAGGGGGGGGGTCATAGGGGTCATGACCCCCCCTGAAATCCAAGAAAAGAAAACTACCGTGTAAACCGCGATCATTCAAAACGAGCTATTATATTATGCAGTGTATGTAGTATACGCTCTTTTCTTGTTTGTAGTGTCACAGATAATATAATAAACTAACGTTTGTAGTGTGAAAATTCGGGCTCGCTTCGCTCGCAATACGTACACCATTCTACCTGTTTTACATCTACTGCTAGTGTTGAGGCCTCTCACTTTTTATAACTCGAAAAGTCGAGCTCGCTTCACTCGCAGTACATGTATCTTTTAGTCTGTCTTCACTGGCGGCCAGTTTTTAAGCTCACACGCTCGTTTGTAGCGAAAAAATTAAGCTCGCTTCGCTCGCGATACGTCCGCGTACTTGTGCCTTATTTTTATCTGAAAACTTCAGCCTACTCAGATAAATATTATGAGCATAACAACGCTTGAAGTTTTTTTGTATCTGCCACCGATTAAATGGTATTAATAATTTTGTATTTCTATGATGATGACTAAACAAGGGGGTCGCCAGTTAATTTTTGCCTGGAAAGGGGTCACGTACCTACCTATTCAAAAAGTTTGAAAAACACTGCCTAGCTAGTGACAAATTCATAAGTAAAGTGTTAATACAGTGCTTTGTAACTAATAGTATCAGGCGTTACTTTGCGGAAGTCCATCTTGATGAAAGTGATAGAAATATATTTAGCTTCTTCCGCACTTATGAAGGTAGGTTATGCTGCTGAGTGGACCACACGTACGACCGCTCGGCTCGACTCGGAACTTGACTGTCAAAGATCTCCTGAGGATGCTCCGTGGAGGAGTGAAACACGTGTAGAGTGTAAAACGGTGGCTGCGTTGTTGATGTGTTGTGTCAAAAGAATCTGAGGAACTCAAAAATCTGCATCAGCCCGTGTTCAGTGTATGACGAGTGGTGTGACGTCATTATGACATTATGCTTATGCACGCAGTAGGATTTATTCTATAAATCTAAAGTGTGGATAAAAAAATGGTTCTAAGGTATTTCAGCCGCCATGCCCCCCCCTGAAACTGAGGGCTGTGACCGCGCCTGCTCACAGCGCAATATTATTCTCATAAATAAAAAAGGAGAAAATTGAAAAATTCACTAATAACCGCCGGGACTTGACCCCGGGACTGTGGATCACCGTTCCACCGCTTTACCGATTGAAGCTACGGGCGCCTAGCGGACCCTGGTGAATCTTTCAACCTCTTGATCCAGCGACATCTATAGAAAGTATTTAGAACTTTACTACATAGCTATTTTTAAATTTCCTCATTTTCAAATAATAGAATTATTATCAGCAGAAACCATAATGACTTGGCAACTTTCTAACAGTATTTAAGTGTCTTGCCTTGGTTGCATTTTACTACCTGATTCACAAAAGAAAGGGACTAAAAATGGCGGCGGTTCTATAAGTTTGACGGAGATGGCATGAACACCTGGTACCTAATGTCAAATTTAGTATAATAAAGTCCTTGCCTAATGTAAGAAATGCCTTAGTGCGAGTGAGAAAGTATGACCTCCGTCCGGCCGCCATTTATAAACCCTTTCTTCTGTGAATCAGGAAGTAAAAAGCAACCCCTTTCATCTGTTAATCTTTCTCTGAAGCATGGAGCCATCTTGCTTTCGGACAATCATGTTGGTCAGCCTGCTTTGTCCTAACCAGATTGGAAAAAAATCACAAGGTGATAAATATCAATTTTGTGAAGTGACCTACCGGAACTTGAAACTTCGCACGTCAACTTCAACCGTCACCGCAGCACAGACCGCAGGCAGTCGCACTACCACTGCGTGCGCTACAGCTGTCAATGGGTGGTTACCTGCAGAGTCCACGATGAGTGCCAGCGGCGTGAAAAGGAAGTGTACCAGCTCGGGCGCGTTAGGGTCGTGTATGTATGCCCGCAGGCGAGCCAGCAGGTTGAAAGACAGCTTGAACTTCTGTAAGACGTCCACGTAGTCACGTTCAGGCGGCGGCCGGGTGTGGAGGGATAGCATAGCAGGGCTGCAAAAGTGTGGCAAAAGTAAAGGGGTATTGGGTGGTTACCTGCAGAGTCCACGATGAGTGCCAGCGGCGTGAAGAGGAAGTGCACCAGCTCGGACGCGTTAGGGTCGTGTATGTATGCCCGCAGGCGAGCCAGCAGGTTGAGAGACAGCTTGAATTTCTGCAAGACATCCACGTAGTCGCGCTCTGGCGGCGGGTGGGTATGAAGGAATAGCATAGCAGGGCCGCAAAAGTAAAGGGGTGTTGGGTGGTTACTAGGGCTTCCAATACCGGTATACCGGTATTGGCCAATACCGGGATCACGGACTTTTTTGACCTCTTTTCAGTACCGGTATTAAAAATCTAATACCGGTATTCCACCCACTTTCTACCTACTAGAGTGCCCGACACGCTCTTGGCCCCATTCTACCCACTTTCTACCTACTAGAGTGCCCGACACGCTCTTGGCCCTATTCTACCCACTTTCTACCTACTAGAGTGCCCGACACGCTCTTGGCCCTATTCTACCCACTTTCTACCTACTAGAGTGCCCGACACGCTCTTGGCCTATTCTACCCACTTTCTACCTACTAGAGTGCCCGACACGCTCTTGGCCCCATTCTACCCACTTTCTACCTACTAGAGTGCCCGACACGCTCTTGGCCCTATTCTACCCACTTTCTACCTACTAGAGTGCCCGACACGCTCTTGGCCCCATTCTACCCACTTTCTACCTACTAGAGTGCCCGACACGCTCTTGGCCCCATTCTACCCACTTTCTACCTACTAGAGTGCCCGACACGCTCTTGGCCCACCTGCTAGAGTGCCCGACACGCTCTTGGCCCTATTCTACCCACTTTCTACCTACTAGAGTGCCCGACACGCTCTTGGCCCCATTCTACCCACTTTCTACCTGCTAGAGTGCCCGACACGCTCTTGGCCCTATTCTACCCACTTTCTACCTACTAGAGTGCCCGACACGCTCTTGGCCCCATTCTACCCACTTTCTACCTGCTAGAGAGCCCGACACGCTAATGGCCCCATTCTACCCACTTTCTACCTACTAGAGTGCCCGACACACTCTTGGCCCTATTCTACCCACTTTCTACCTACTAGAGTGCCCGACACGCTCATGGCCCCATTCTACCCACTTTCTACCTACTAGAGTGCCCGACACGCTCTTGGCCCTATTCTACCCACTTTCTACCTACTAGAGTGCCCGACACGCTCTTGGCCCCATTCTATCCACTTTCTACCTACTAGAGTGCCCGACACGCTCTTGGCCCTATTCTACCCACTTTCTACCTGCTAGAGTGCCCGACACGCTCTTGGCCCTATTCTACCCACTTTCTACCTACTAGAGTGCCCGACACGCTCTTGGCCCCATTCTACCCACTTTCTACCTGCTAGAGTGCCCGACACGCTCTTGGCCTATTCTACCCACTTTCTACCTACTAGAGTGCCCGACACGCTCTTGGCCCTATTCTACCCACTTTCTACCTACTTGAGTGCCCGACACGCTCTTGGCCTATTCTACCCACTTTCTACCTACTAGAGTGCCCGACACGCTCTTGGCCCTATTCTACCCACTTTCTACCTACTAGAGTGCCCGACACGCTCTTGGCCCTATTCTACTTACTTTCTACCTACTAGAGTGCCCGACACGCTCTTGGCCCTATTCTACCCACTTTCTACCTACTAGAGTGCCCGACACGCTCTTGGCCCCATTCTACCCACTTTCTACCTACTAGAGTGCCCGACACGCTCTTGGCCCTATTCTACCCACTTTCTACCTACTAGAGTGCCCGACACGCTCTTGGCCCTATTCTACACACTTTCTACCTACTAGAGTGCCCGACACGCTCTTGGCCCCATTCTACCCACTTTCTACCTGCTAGAGTGCCCGACACGCTCTTGGCCCCATTCTACCCACTTTCTACCTACTAGAGTGCCCGACACGCTCTTGGCCCTATTCTACCCACTTTCTACCTACTAGAGTGCCCGACACGCTCTTGGCCCTATTCTACCCACTTTCTACCTGCTAGAGTGCCCGACACGCTCTTGGCCCTATTCTACCCACTTTCTACCTACTAGAGTGCCCGACACGCTCATGGCCCCATTCTACCCACTTTCTACCTGCTAGAGTGCCCGACACGCTCTTGGCCCTATTCTACCCACTTTCTACCTACTAGAGTGCCCGACACGCTCATGGCCCCATTCTACCCACTTTCTAACTATATGTTACATGCCGTGAGGTTAACTTCAGAATGTTACATTTAGTGAGGTTAACCTCATGTTGTGTGTCCGACTCGCTCTTGACCATTTATCGAGCTACAATACAAAGCTAAAACAAAACGGACGTAACCAAACTAGGAACAATCTAGGCAACCTTACTGGGTACTATCGGCAGCACGTGAAACTACCCCAAGCAAGGGATCACCTTTATATTGGTGTTTTCAAACAAACACTACGAGATCTCAGTTTAAGCTGGCCTCACTCACTTACTGTTGCGATGACCACTATATGTTGGACTCCGGTGCGATTTCTAACAGTTTGACACTAGTCTGACTAGCAGCACCACCTGTCATATTAATTTTAAACTAACAGCACTGAGCTGCCATCTATGAACTGTTTTGAGTAACAATAATATTTCTACTCGGTACTAGGTGGCACTGTTTAGTAAACTTTAGTTCAGCTATTCGACCACAGATGGCGCTGCAAGTTCAAAATGTTATCGCAGTATTTCTCTCTCTTGCTTTGCTTCAGTGTTCTTGAGACAACTAATTGAGACAGATATCTACCGATTTATCAGATTTTTGGGGTTTTTGGGTACTGGGTACTATCGGCAGCACATGAACCTACCCCAAGCAAGGGATCACCATAGTATTGGTGTTTTCATCGAAACACTACGAGAGACCAGTTTTAGCTGGCCTCACTTTCATACAAACACTACGAGAGAGAGACCAGTTTTAGCTGGCCTCACTTAGTGACTGTATGGAGGACCACTATAATTATGTTCGACTCTGGTGCGATTTCAAACAGTTTGCTAAGTACAGTGTGCCATATACAATGTTGCGCAACATCGTTCAAATTTTGCTAGCGCAATGTTGCGCCACCGATCGCCGTAAGTGTTGTACCATCGAACGCGGCTCGAGTTCCTCTTTCAAACGACACCCCACACATGGTACCTACTACTACCTACTACCGTACCGCACAAGGTTTTCCAGTTCTAATTTTTAATTTTTAAGTTCTAAGTTCTAAGTTTTCGCGAGGCAAACGTGTCCGCGTGGCGAACACTATGCACCACGCACCTTTATCATATCGCGGAAAACATTTCATTACCGCGTTTTAAAAAACTACTAGCGCCATCTAGTGTTTTCATACGAAAATACTTTTGACGACTTTATTTCTACAGTGCATAAAACATTACTTTTTTTTATGACTCACGTCCTCGGAGAAAAACATTCCATTAATACCGTAATACCGGGATCCCGGTATTGACGAAAATGATCCGGTATTCAATACCGGTATTGAAAAAGTCCGGTATTCGAAAGCCCTAGTGGTTACCTGCAGAGTCCACGATGAGTGCCAGCGGCGTGAAGAGGAAGTGCACCAGCTCGGGCGCGTTAGGGTCGTGAATGTAAGCCCGCAGACGAGCCAGCAGGTTGAGAGACAGCTTGAATTTCTGCAAGACATCCACGTAGTCGCGCTCCGGCGGCGGGTGGGTATGAAGGAATAGCATAGCAGGGCCGCAAAAGTAAAGGGGTGTTGGGTGGTTACTAGGGCTTCCAATACCGGTATACCGGTATTGGCCAATACCGGGATCACGGACTTTTTTGACCTCTTTTCAGTACCGGTATTAAAAATCTAATACCGGTATTCCACCCACTTTCTACCTACTAGAGTGCCCGACACGCTCTTGGCCCTATTCTACCCACTTTCTACCTACTAGAGTGCCCGACACGCTCATGGCCCCATTCTACCCACTTTCTACCTACTAGAGTGCCTGACACGCTCTTGGCCCTATTCTACCCACTTTCTACCTACTTGAGTGCCCGACACGCTCTTGGCCCCATTCTACCCACTTTCTACCTACTAGAGTGCCCGACACGCTCTTGGCCCTATTCTACCCACTTTCTACCTACTTGAGTGCCCGACACGCTCTTGGCCCTATTCTACCCACTTTCTACCTACTAGA